GGGGCGTGGCCCGCCGGATCCGCCGGATCAGGACCCAGTAACATGCTAAGGTTCTACACCGACGAAACTCCGGGCTTGAAGATCTCTCCGACGGTCGTTCTCGTCATGAGCCTCTGCTTCATCGGCTTTGTCACCGCTCTCCACGTCTTCGGCAAGCTCTACCGCCACAAATCCGGATCCGATGCCTGACCCGGCCGACCCGACCCGGTTAACTTTTGGAGGGGTGATTGTACTGGGTTTTCCGGTCTTGTTATCGGAGATTTCGCCGGGTTTTTTCTACTTTTTTTCTGGAATGATTTTGGGTTTGTTTGATGATCCATGTAAATCGCTTACTGTTGAATAAAACGTGTTAGTTTTCGCAATTGGGTCTTCGTCGAATCTAATTTCATGTGAGAGGCCATGGATGATGGAACTGGATTTGGAGGTGATGATGGGGAGAAAAATTTAGAAAGTGAGGAGTCAAACAAAAAAAGAAAACAACTAGAATCGGTTTAGCTCGGTTTAGGATCGATTTGGTTCGGTTTAGTAAATATCTTGGGACGTGGGATTAAAATTGAAAACATTTTAATACTCCGAAAAATAATATCTTTTGTAATTGAGATTTGAACAGAATAATATTCTTAAATATTTGTTGGCTTTCATGGAAATTCAATTTAGATCTAAGATTTTAAAAAAAAAGTAAATTTACAATTTGAATCAACATGTAATAAAATTATGACTTATAATTTATCTATTATTTTTTGTGGCACATACAGTATCGTGTTTGATAAATTAACTATCAATGTCTCAAATTGCAGTTGGCTGGGGTTGGTTATACTTATTAATTGCTTTAGTTATATGATATTGAAATAATATTTAAGTATGATACTATTTTAATATTTGTAATGGACCGCTATTCACATATGACATGTCGTGATGAGTCAGATCTCAAGCGTTGTAATTAGTCGTTCACGGGTTGTACCGTCAGAAGTGTATGTATCGATCGACATAAGCATTCAATATGATATGAAGGGCAAAAAAATGTTCAAGAAACTCCTGGATCTGATTATTACTTATATGACATTTGAGTTATCTTACGAAATTAAATTACATTCCGTTTTATTTCTTTTTATGGAACATACTTTATTTGGGGATTAAGATTCATAGACAGAATCATATCGTGCTACGGACAGTCTTGTAATTATAATAAAAATTATTAAATGAAGATATTTTAATGGTTACTATAATTATCAAAGAATTGCCATTAGAATTAGAAAAAATTGAATCTTTAATGGAGAAGAAAATCACATTAAAAAATTCACTCACATGAAAAAAAAAACTTCGAATAATAACGAGAGTAAGTACCAATGAATCAAAACATTAAAAAAAAAGATTAACACGGAATTTCAGGCACAAAATAACAAAAGGAATCACTCTTTATGATCCAATTCTCATCACAAATAGAACCATACAATAAGAAATCCAATGAAGACGGAAAACGACGACGTATCACGAAAAGAACCAACGAGACGAAGAGCAAAGGAGGCATCGGCCGGAGAGTCTTCGTCGGGACTTTCCTCGGGACCCTTCTTCTTCTTCGACTTCGCCGGCGCTGGCGCCGGCGCCGGAGGGCGAGGATCGAACACCTGTTGAGGCCGCAATACCTGGTCGACCTGTGTATGTATATATACATACATTCATCAGTGTGTATTTGAATGTTAATTATGTGGCTAATTTTTCACTCATAAATTATGGGAAAACTGGGTTCAAATCCTCGAAACGTCATATGAACAGTCAAAGATTAAACCAAGCTAAACCGGTTTTACATTCTGATATGTGTTTTAGTGGATAATCCAAATCTTCGAAGTGTCACGTGAAACTTCGATGATTAAACCGCACCCATTAAACCGGAGTAAACCGGGATTATATATAATAATATGTGCATTAGTGGATAGTTACATGTAGTTTATACGGGCCGGTCGTGGATGACTGTATTGAGATTTTGAGAGATAGAAATGTCAATGAGAACAGTGTAATATTTTTTTTAAAAAAACTTTAGAAGATGGTGGATTCAAAATCATGTATTGGCATGTATTATGATTCAAAATTAATCCTTATACTTACATTTAAAATTCATGATACATTAATTAATGGCTAATTTCTTACTCGCAAATTATGAAAAAATCATTCGGGACCGGTCAATGAGCTAAACCAAGCTAAACCACGCACGCTAAACCAAATGAAATCAGCGTAGACCGGATTTAATTCTAATATGTTCATTAATGGAAATTCTATATATAGTTATAAGCTAATGACCGTTCGTGTATGATTGTATGGAGATCTTGAGAGCTATAGTTCTATATAAGATCATGGGTTCAAAATCCAAATTATATTTTTTGAAAAAATTTACCGGAGAGAAAAAAAAATAATAATAAAAGAACCTGGTAAATAGCGAGCTGGCCGTCGCTGTAAACGTTGCCGGAGACGGTGGTGTTGGTGAGCCCCGACGTGATATTTACGGAGCTGCCATTGGTCGTGACGTTCAACGGAAAATGCCCGTCGGCGGAATCTCCGGCCTGGGTCCGGAGAGGGTTGCTCACCGTCTGGAAGTTGGAGGAGGATATGAACGTGGGTATGACGTGGAACTGAACCAGCTCGGTCTGCTGCTCGTCCGTGAGCGAGTTCAAGGTCCCTGACTTCAGCACCGAGAAGGCCGAGTCACTCGGCGCGAAGATCGTTATCCCGTTGTCGGAATTGTTCAGTTGTCCGTACAGCTGGTTCGCCACTCCGGTGGCTTTCAACAGGCGTATGAAGACAGTGAACTGTCCCGCCTTTTCCAGGATCTTTGTCACGTTTGTGGGCCCTGGAGGCGCCGGAGCCGCCGCCGGAGCCGACTGAGCTAGGGTTCCGGTGACGGAGGCGAGGAGAAGGAGGAGGACGGTGGCCGGAGAAGCTTCCATGGCCGAAGTATATATAGTAACCCAAGTGGCTAAGTGTTTTTTTGTGTGTGAAATAGAGGAAGAGTGAGGGTTTTATAAGTGAGTTTTTCAGGTGAGGGAATAATTTTTTTTTTAACAGCACAACTAAAAAATCTAATAATTATTAATAAATCATGATTTGTATTTTGGAAAATCATGATTTATGATTCGTTGATTAAAGATTTAATATATCTGCATGCTATGACCTTGAGATGGCTACTTATTAACAGCATTAATAATATAAATAAATAAAAGACATAACTTTATTGATAATTCTTCAGATCTTGTGTGGTATGATAATGGAAAGAGCAACTTGCTACTTTGCTTGTAAAATAAGAAAAATAAAAAATAAATTTAGCAACTTTGATGTGTGGTGGGCTCTATTTTCAACCCTTAAGCTGTAAATCAATTGAAAACTTCTTCTTTTTTATAAAAAAAATATTTGATATCGGTTTAATATTTTTATTTTTATATGGGTCGAAACCTTATTCCAATAGTTTTAACGATATTGTAATATTCATTTTTAAAATAGTTCATTTTTTATTTGGATCTTCTTTTGGTATTGTTTTGATATTTTTAAGAAAATTTATAGTAGATCATATATATATATATAGGTCTCTTATCGTCTTGCTATATAGAAAAAAATGTACTGCAAAATTATATCTATCGTTTAAAAATAAGAAAAAAATTATTTCGGGTAGATTTTTTAAATAAAAATTACAGATGAAATTGAGCACTTTGTTGGTGAAACAGTTTGCGTTTCCTTTTGCCAATACCCTAAGGAAACAAAGATTATGTCTGCAGTTTTCCTGATAGGTACAATCACCACCAATCATAATATTATATAATATATATATATATATATATGAGTATATGAATGCTTATATATATATATATGTGTGAGAGAGAGAATGAATTATTCAAAATTGATAAAATGATTAAGAAAATAAATAAAAATAGACAAAAGATAGACTGTAAATCGTCTAAGAAGTTGCAAGTAGGGGTGGACGTTTCGGGAAGCGGTTCGGGTTCGGGACGGAATGAATCGGTTCGGTTCTTTCGGTTTTATAAAAATAGGTACCAATCGGGTTTTTTATTGTATTCGGTTCGGTTCGGTTTCGGTATCGGTTCGGTTCGGTTCCGAGTTTTATTAAAAAAATGATAGATTTTCTTTTAAAATATTCGGTTTTTCAGGATTTTTAAAGTTCGGTTCGGTTCAGTTCGGTTCCGGAAAAATTTGATTCTCTAAAAATGGTATATTCGGGAAATAACAGCGATTTCGGGTCGGGAAAAATACCGTTTTAACGGTTCGGTTCAGTCCGGTTCCAAAAAATCGAACCGAAACGCTCAGCCCTAGTTGCAAGTGTGGTAGAGATTTGGATGGTGGGTGTAATGAAAATAACAGTGTCACCTTATTATGATGTTTACGCCTTTTACCCTGTTTTGATTTGACAGATTTGCCTCTATATAATATTTACTATTATTACATCCTTTTTCTAATGTTTTATTATTTTATTTTACTCTTAAGATAAAATTTTGAGACTAATTTAACGATATTCATGATAATGATCTAATCTCCTGAATATATTGAAAGTCATTACATGCTTTAATGAGGTCACTTCAACCGGATTCTATAAATCTAAATGGTCCATATATGAATAGTTATTGAATATTTCAAGGGTATTTTCTTTAAATGTTCCTCTGGAAGACCCTTTTGTGTAACCGGAAGATAAACCCGATTAAACCGGAATTGGTTTAGTTGGTCAAACCAAGATGATCCTGCAGATGCCCTGCGCTCATTCCATTTGGATTTTCCCGCAAGAAAGCACAATAAGCAACAGAAGGATCTCTTTTATGTACCATAGCCATGTTTCTTGCGTTTCAAGAAACCGTTATACAACTCTCATCCTGGGTTTGCAGGTTTCTTGCGTTCCAAGAAACCTAATATTAACGATGGACAAATTTAAGATATCCTTTTTATTATGTATTTCATCCACAATACAATACAATACAATACAAACTTTTGACGAGGCGAAACAAACGACAAATATTTTCGTTAACGATACAAAAACCGGATTTAGACAATTGATTAAACTTAATGGATCGACAAAACAGCGATTTTTATAATCAGTACTGAGCCGTTCCGTCTTCACTGAGGCTACTCAGAGTGGTTTTTCCTCGGAACCTGCATAAATTGCAGACAGGCGAAAACAGCGAAGGAGCTTCATACTTGTCTTCGCCGCCCATCATCGGCATTGGAACGCCGACCTTGACAGGGCTGACGTAGCCCGGCCGATACGTTTTTCCCAGAACGCCCTCGACTTTGTCGCTCAGATCGAAGAACTTGAACTGGGTCTCGAGATGGGCGAAAGCGTCGTTGTCCGGCAGCTGGTAGTTGTGAACTCTGTCTTCTTCGCTTCCGATTGGTCTTACCTTGACATCCATCTGAACAAGCCCTGAAACCGTGACTCTAACGTTGTTTGTCTCGTCAGTTCTCTCCACCACGATCTCGCGTTCTTCCAGATCGACCCTCCATTCTGCTTCTCCGTCTGTAGGGACTGTAACTTCTTTCCCGTCAAATCTCACGACGAGGGCATCGACGGAATCTTCCCAGTATTGAACCTTCTTGGCCGCGATGACGAGGCTGTTGTTGTCGAACATGACGTTGAAGGCCTGAACCCATGTGAAGTCTCTGGTTCTTCCAGCGGGTCTTGTCCCGATGAAATGAGCGTTGATCTGGAGGTTGTCGTCTGAAACAATCGCAAAGTTTCCGTCTTTCTTTCCATGGAAGTAGAACATCACTCCATCACCTCCGACGAATCTCGGGTCGTAACACAAAGATCCGTACCCATTACAGTTAGCTTTTCTCCCTGTTCAGACACACATACCAAACACCATATTAGCTCACAAGATCCGTAACCATGAAAATGGCGCAAAAAAGTTCAAGAAGATGTCTGAAAATGTATGCCCGCAAGGTCTATGCATGGTCCAAAATGTTCAAGAAAACGCGATCATGATAGACAGACGTTGAAACACAGACATACATTTGCAGGTGACTTCACATTTGCTGCTGCAATCGGCGAAGCAACCTTTCTGTCTTCTGTTCTTCTTAGGCTTCCTTTCCGGGCACTCGGCCGGGCAAGTGAGGATCTTCTGGTTGCAAGCTCCTCTCGCCTGGCAGAGAACTCGTTCCCGGCCCGAAGCCAGAGGAGATAACACCGTGTAGTGCGTAGAAGCAGCGTCATGAGGCGATTTCTTCTTGTACTGATCTTTCGCTGAAACCGCTCCTTGTGCCAAAGCCCACACAAGAACTATGAAAACCGCGAAAACCCTCGACATAATTTCTCGATTCAGATGAACCCTCAGAGTGTATATATGCAAGTGTGTGTATATGTGTACGTAATGCCCTGTTCAGGAACACTTACAGACACTTTTGTTTCTGTGATTTCGAATGATATAGATGAGGGAAGGAGAAGAGCGGCTTATATAGGTGGGGGAGGAAGCTGAAAATAAGCAGCGAGAAACGGCTGAATTAACGATTTGGATCTTCTCTCGCTTCACGTGCTCAAGTCTATGAAGAGACAGCTTTTTTTTTTTTGGTAATACCAATAGATTTAGATTTGACCTAATTTATTTTATAAAAAAAAATAATGTCTAAATCTGAAAAAAAAGTCAGCTCAATAACACGGGGGAGAGACAAATATTATACAAAAGGAAATGTTACGTAAAAGCTTCTGAAAATTGCAGAATGTTGTGTTATATTCTGATATATATATATATATGTATATATATTGGTACCATGATTTTAGATTCACGTTTGCATAAAATTGCTTTTGGAAACTAGGGTTTTGAAAATGAAACGCGTACACACATCGTTACACGTTTTGTTGTATTGTATATAAATTCGAATTTTTCGAAATGGTCGGCTTCGCTTTTGATTTATTATCATTGGAAGAAATCCGAACAAGTTGTCATAATAAACTAAACCAACTTTATTTGTGTTCATTTCGAAGTTTTTTTTTTTATAAAATTTTACCGACGTGGAAACCTCAACAATACGAAATGGGTTTTTTTTTTATGACAAGTTGTGTTCCATACATGAAATGATAATCAATGCGTGTAATTACATATGTGTTATTGTATTTGGATTTTTTTTTCGTGTTTAAGAATAAGACTATGCTTAAAATCACATTTAAATTACATGCATGCCTTCCCATATATACGAATATATTGAGAATGATGGAGAATTGAATTTACATAGCTTTTTTTTTGTTTTTTTTAATTAAAAAATCTAAACTATATTAATGCTGTAAACTTCGTCACAAATTCAAAATTCAAACAAATTTTAAAAAAATAAATGTAAATTTAAATTCTCCATAAATTTCAATAAATATATTATAAATACAGGTGCTTCTAACATTTGTCTATATTTCATTTTGAATGATTTACCATATCATATATTATATTCAATGCTCGTTTTATCTTTCATGTAACCGCAAAGCTACAAACGCATTATTGGCATTTGTAATTAATTTGGGATCATTTCGACCAAAATCATAAACGATACCCATCAAAGTCGGTCGTCCTTATTATAGAAATACTTTAGTAATGTTATTTAATCAGTCTATTGTCTATTTTAAAAATATATAATTCATGAAAATATGATTTGAATTATATTTATATACATAGAAACATGCCAACATATACCACGAAAACGAGAAAAAAAAAACACACAATTAACTACAAAATTACAATTTTTTTTTTGCTTTATGGCTGTTTCCATAAAATTTCTCAACCGTAACAAGAGAAATTTGCATGACCAATTTACAATTAGAAACTCCATATCTAAAGTTATTGCAAATTTAGACTAGGGTTTATTTCATTTTTAAGCAACCCACTAATTTCTCTCTCTATATCCAACAATGGAATTGTGTGATATTTTAAAGAGAGTCGGCTAAGTCTTAGGAAATCGCCCTATAATTCCACGTGTAGTCCATGCATGCATATATATATATATATATATAATGGTGCATTGAAGTCATGTATGTTCATGTGACGTGAAACGTAATTTAATGTCCTTGGAGTTGGATCACATGAAACTCCACCTAGAAAAATGCGCCTTTTTAGATTATTAAAGATTGATTTTATAGTTTAATTGTATTTAGCTCCTAAATTGAAGCCAAAGCCTAGTCGAAGTGGTCTTGAACTTTGAAGCATCTCCAGGCTGTTTCTTGATACCCATAAAAACACTTGCTTCCGAGGAAATTCAGATCAAACCTTTTTAAATTCAAATCCATATTCCACAGATATGCATACTAAGTGTATATATATATATATATGTGTGTGTGTGTGTGTGTATACATATTGAAATAGTGCAATTTGCAAAAACTTTTGTCTTTTTATCCCCCTGGTTTCTTTCTGATTGTGATTCTTGAACTATGACCCAATTGTTTTCTTGGATAGAAATGTGCATAAAACATGGCACTACAAGAAACAAGAATATAAGATTTAACTGGCTATATATATATATATATATATATTCCCCTGTCCATTATTTTATTTTCACAAAATACAATAGAAATATATAATAATAAAACAAAATCATCAAAACGTTGAATTCACCATGAACGGATAGCTAGCTATGTAAATCTCCAGCATTTGGTCGTTTTCTTCTCAGGCAATTGCAGAATGTGGTCGAGGCTTTGAACCTGCGCGGGCTCTGCATGTCGGAGGATGATGTCCGAATACTCGTCGTCTCCGGCCATTATGAGCATCCTCCTCTCCATGAGGTCACTGCTGAGATCGAATAACTTGAATGAGCAAATGACTCATTCTCAGGCGACTGCTCGTTACTAAGAGATATAGAGAAAATTCGAGAAGATTATATAATATTTACCCAACATCTTGTGGGCGAGTGGTCAGCAGATAGGTGCAAAGTACTCAGAGGTTGGCGGTTCGATTCCTGGTTGGGGAGGGGTTTTCACATGGGCTGCCCCGGTCCTCTGGGAGATGTAGTTGGGCCAAAGGCCCAGTGAACTTCCGGATTATCAAAAAAAAAAAAAAATTTATCCGAAATTTCGGATATCAACTCGCGGGTCGGACACATATACTCGAATCTTCTCTTCTCTTCTGCTGTCCCAAACAACCATTCCGTTCTTTGGTGTGTTGTGACATGGTCCAACAATGGCGAGGAAAAGTATGTGTGTATATATATATATAGATAGATAGTGAGAAACATATGGAGATTAAGAGCGGGGTTTGACTTTTAGCATGTTATATGTCTTTGCTTCCTCCAGAGAAAGAAGATGACTCTTTGAGTTCATGTTAAGGCTTAAAGATCAAAACTTTGGAACCAAAAATATAAAAAAAAATAAATATAAAATCATAAACTAACATTTGAAAATTTTAATGTATCTCATGTTGCCGTGGTACGCAAGCAAATGATAGTTTGAAAGTGAAGATGCTTTGCATAAATCCCCCATATTCACAGACCTTTTCCCACCCTGCAAGTTTGGACCTTTTCCGGATATCAAAGAGAAACTAACTAAATCACGAGTAAACCGGAATTTTCTTGACCGGCCGGTTTATTGTCGGTTAAGGTCCAAGTAATAACCAAACCATTCCAAACTAAACCAGTTCAAAACCGATTTCCAAATCGAACCTATTCACACCTGTCACGCTGATATGAACCAATCAGATATTTTCAGTATGATGCATAATCTCAAACTTAGTGTACAAACCTTTTAATTGGTAGTGGTTTTCAGGTATAACTTACCGTGGCAGAGCTGCAGACACATGGGCAGTGGGTGTTACTTTGTATTGTATGATATTGGGACAGTACCCATTTCTCGGTGAGAGCCTTCAGGATACTTATGACAAGGTGAGAGCGCAAAAGCTGAACTTAGATCCTGGATGGGTTTTATACCGCATTTCTCGAGGATCTATCTGAATTCTGAAATCTGTAACACGCCCTTTTTTCGTTTTGGGCATTTTCTTTGACAGATTGTTCATAATCCTTTGATAATTCCTGATGGACTGAATCCACTTCTGAGAAGCTTGATCGAAGGTCTTCTCTGCAAAGGTGAGTTTTATAGTCAGTTTTTGTAGTAAAGTTTAGACCTTTATATATATATATATATTATTTTTAGATTATGTAATATTCTGATTAGTTTTTTTTTGGTTTAAAATATTTTGATTAGTTTATGTTATAGAACAAATTTTTATTTTTCATTTTATCGCGAGTTGGTTATTTCTTAAAAAAACAAACAAACTCAGTTCTATTAACATTTTCCGACTCTTTAATCGTGTATCGAAATAATAAACGTAATTAATGTGAAAATCTTTTTTATAATGTTCTACTATTATTATAATCATCATATCATAACTATAGGTATGAGTTATTATTCTTCTATAATATAACCTACCATAGCTACATTTCTAAATATGATAAAATCACCTTAACATATATATATATATAAAGTTTTTTTTAGTGATCGAATAATATCGATGAACAAATATAGAAAACCGACATAGAAATGTTTATCTCCGGTCGTTATTTTTTAGATTTATATGATTAATGCACGTAAACGATCGATAATAGGATTTGATAAAATCACCCAATATTCGAATCCCGAATAATCTTATTTTGAGATTGAATTTCGCAAATTACATTACACTTAAAATCGGATTCCACAATCTTAGGATCGGAATAATTAGATCTCTAGATTATAATTACTCACTGATAATTTCGGTGTTACAAACGAAAATATAAAATAATATATTTTTTAAAACTGTTTAATATTATTTCAAGAATAATTTTGATATTTACAAAAAAAAATAGTTTGTAAAGAAATAGTTTTAATAAAAGGGCTTTTGTTTTTGTTTTTGCAGAGAGCGCTATATATAACATTATAACTGCATGTAACGAAACCTTTAAAAAAAACTCAAAACTAAAAAAAAAAAGATACGGAAGGGGAGAGAGAAGTTATTTTGATGTTATTCTAAAGCACGACGCCTTCGAACCCTAGCTCGCGGCAAATTCTCTCTCCCAATTTTCCGTCTTCCTCTGTTCGGATCAAATTCCAAATTCGAATCGATCGATGTAAGATTATTGTTTGCATTGTTGATTAGGGTTTGTTTTGGATTCTGGGTTTTCTATTTTGGTTCTCATCGCCGAAGATGTCATATGATTTAGAACAAGTTTTTTTTTTTGGTGTGCAATCGATTTCGAAATTAGGGTTATTTTTTTTTGTTTAGAAAGCATCAGGTTTGCTCTATGGATTCTATCTATAATAGAAGCCATGGCTGTATAGCTTTTTGAAGGTCAGTGGACTTTTGTTCTTCTTCTCGCCTTCGACGTTTCTCGTCGATATATATGTATTTTGTGTGGAATTTTGGTTCCAATTCGATTTTCCTTTTCCTTATTCGCATGTGATGTCATGATTGGGATAGAAAATAGTAGAAAAGATATGTTCTTTTCTGCCAGAAATTTCGATCTTATCTTTAATGTGATTTCTCATCTTCTTTGATATATTTATTGTTGAAAGGTTTTATTTGTATTAGGTTTTGGTTTATGTAGTTAATTGAATGAAAATTTGTCTCCTTTTGCAGAAATTCCCCGCTCATCCTTGTTTTATTCGTGGCTATTGGAGTTGTCGTTCGATTTAATAATTGGGGATATACATTCAACGTTTGGCTTTTGAGGAGGAGAAAAGGGTGTCCAAGAGTTGAGATTTCTAAAAATATATTTGTTATAGAGTGGATCTTCAAGGATGCTGCGTTTAAGCTTTAGTAGCTTTAATATTTCGAGTTGTTTTGTTCATCTGGCTGAGTGGCATCCTTTGGAATAACGAAGCTTATCGGGCTTTGAAGCCCTCGAAACCTGTTTTTGCAGAGTAAGATTTTGATTGGTGTTTGTTCTTCTAGAGCTTCTAATTTTGATTTTAGAGTTGCTGATGTTAGTGCAATGGTTGTTTGTGAATGATTTATGGGGAAAACCTGGTGAACTGTAGAGTATTAGGATGATTTATACTGAAATCGACATCATAATGGTTGCTTGAAGTTTCTAGGAGTCATAACCATAGAAGAGAAATTACATGAGGGACAATTAAGGTGGTTTGGACACGTAAAACGTAGACCGCTAGATGCTTCAGTTAGAAAATTAGAGAGTATAAGGATGGAAGTGAAGAAACGAGGAAGGGGTAGACCTAGACTTACTTGGGAACGAGTCATTAGAAATGATTTGGATATGTTGCAAATATCGGAGAATATGACGCAAACCCGAAATGAATGGAAAAGAAGAGTTTATACGACCGACCCCAAATAAACTTGGGATTAAGGCGATGTTGTTGTTGTTACTGTTGTTGGGTTTTTGCTTGTAGTAGGGTTGGGTTGTGAGATGCTTGTTTGTCCAATTCTTGTTCTTGGGTGATTTTGATTCATCTGGTTTTGTCTGCTTGCTCCTGGGATAGGTTTTATCTGTGTTGTAGGATGGATTATTTTTGTGTACTCAAGCCATGATGTTGATTGTTAATCCAATGTATTACAGGCTCCAGATTTGTTAGCTTCAGCAGTTGGGATTTTTCATTAGCAGATTTTTTTTGGAGTAGACGATGTTTCGTGATAGCTTTTCATTTATCCAAGCAATGGGATGCTTTGGGTGCTTAGGGTGCTCGAGGAGAACCCGTCGATCATCTAAGCCCTATATGAATAAAAATCACGGGCTGTCCCAGGATCTTTTGATAGATGATCATCTACGGGATTACGATGATACGTATTCATGTGATAGTGATGAAACTAGCAATGCCCAAGAAGTGGAGCAGCAGAACCGTTCGAAGCGCTCCGAGGAAATCTTGAAATTTAGATTAAATAATGGGCTGATCTGTAGGCAGTGTCCAGTGAAGGAAACAAATAAACTTATCCGCGGGGAGGTAGATGGCTTCTTGTATTCGCATATAATGTGCTTTGCCAAGCAAGTTCATTTTTTCCCTCTGAATTCAAGTCTCTTTTTGTTTGATGATGCAACTGTGTTTGTTTATTTCTTATTTGAGTTTCAGGATGAAAATGGAAACAAGATGATCAATGAGTATGTTCGCGAGTGTAAAATTGGATCCGGTAGCTATGGCAAAGTGGTAAGGATGGATTACATACAATGTTATCACCCCCTCGATTTCTTGAAACAGATGCTGAAATATATCTCACGAAACTAATTCCTTATGAACACGTTTAGCTGTCTGTTGTGTGGTAGAAAAGCATAGGAGCCTGTCCTTACCGAGTTTTGAAAATGAAAGGATGAAAATTTAGGAAAGTTGTGATCCTCATTGTGGTCACTTCCTCTTCCCGAGCAATTTTGGATTTTATAGTGGTTTCTGTTTCAAACATACCTCACTATCATTTGCAAACTTAGTAATTTTTTTATTTATTTCATTATCACAGTTTCTGAACACACATCCGTACTAAAAAAATTCTGTAAATGAGAACATATAAACACATCTATGTATATCATTTCTATGCATGCATTTTGCATGCTCAACCTGTTCTTCGAGCAAACACATCCTAGGTTTCTGGGTTTGGTAACATTATTCTTTGCATGTACTCCAGGTTCTATATCGAAGCACTGTAGATGGCAAGCATTATGCTATCAAGGTATATTCTTGTTCTTTTTCCTAGTACCACTGGAAAGCTTTTTGTTTTGTCTGCTTTTGTGATGTTATTCCATTTGAACTATAATTTCCAGTCATTATAGTATGGATAGTGCAGATTATGTTAAATAATATTTCTTTAATTTATATCCTCCCTCCTTGTATTATGGTGATTTTATACTCCGGTTGCCAGGCATTTCACAAGTCGCATTTACTTAAGCTACGGGTTGCACCTTCAGAAACGGCTATGGGCGATGTTCTCCGCGAGGTACCATTTCTTTTTAGCTTTATTATTTTGGAAAGAAAAACTCAGGAAAAAAAATTCTGAAGCCGCATTTGTTTTGTGTTGTTTGAGAATGATGATAATCCTGTATATATGCTTTCATTTGTTTACACATCATTGAATCTCACTATTCAGGTTATGATCATGAAAATGCTGGAGCATCCAAATATTGTTAATCTCCTTGAAGTGATTGATGACCCCGAGACTGATCATTTCTACATGGGTATTTATTTTTCCTTTCCCCCCCTTTTTTTTTGTTATTTCATGTGAATTTTCTTCCCTTTTGGCCAAGTTCATCTCATGTGAGAACTTAGTTTTTTTATGGTTATGTCTTTTTCTCCCTTCCCTTTTTTAGTCCTCGAATATGTTGATGGAAAATGGGCTTATGACGAATCTGGACCACCGGGTGCTGTTGGAGAGGAAACTGCTAGAAAGTACTTGCGAGACGTAGTTGCTGGCCTGATGTATCTTCATGCTCATGTATATGACCTCCATTGTCTATTTTCTTACTTCATCCGCATCTTTTGATTTTCCTGATTACCGCCATGACTCTCGATGTCTTATGTTGCTCGATGCTTAAACAGAACATTATTCACGGGGATATTAAACCTGACAATCTACTGGTTACTAGCACTGGAACAGTGAAGATTGGAGACTTCAGCGTCAGCCAAGCCTTTGAGGTAGTAATAAAGCCAAAACCTAATCTTAATCTTACCTCATCCCCATCAGTTTCGTGATATATAAGCAAATGTGAATGTGAATTCTCTTGACCCACAGGATGATAAGGATGAACTCCGCCGATCTCCAGGGACTCCTGTTTTCACTGCTCCAGAGTGTTGCATAGGTTTGGCTTCTTTTCAGTATGATGCATAATCTCAAACTTAGTGTACAAACCTTTTAATTGGTAGTGGTTTTCAGGTATAACTTACCGTGGCAGAGCTGCAGACACATGGGCAGTGGGTGTTACTTTGTATTGTATGATATTGGGACAGTACCCATTTCTCGGTGAGAGCCTTCAGGATACTTATGACAAGGTGAGAGCGCAAAAGCTGAACTTAGATCCTGGATGGGTTTTATACCGCATTTCTCGAGGATCTATCTGAATTCTGAAATCTGTAACACGCCCTTTTTTCGTTTTGGGCATTTTCTTTGACAGATTGTTCATAATCCTTTGATAATTCCTGATGGACTGAATCCACTTCTGAGAAGCTTGATCGAAGGTCTTCTCTGCAAAGGTGAGTTTTATAGTCAGTTTTTGTAGTAAAGTTTAGACCTTTAGGTGACCGAATAGCATGAAAAAGAGAACCAAACAACAGATGAATTGGGGAAACTTCATTTGACCCGAAAGATCTAACTTTTCCGGGCAAGTCCTGGGTTTTGTCATGATGCGAAACTCGATTGCTGTAATAGCGAACTTTCGAGTATATTTCCGCCTTCTGGGTTTACATACCAGCGAAAAAGATATTGTGATCGTTGAAAGGGCTGAATTCATTTCATATGGCATGCAGATCCGAAACAGAGGATGACACTGAAAGATGTGTCGGAGCATCCATGGGTCATCGATAAAGACGGACGAATTCCCGAGTACTTGTGCTGGTGCAAACGCAATTCCGCTCGAGGGACTGAATCAGAATCCAACGGGATCGAGACCCTAATCGAAATCTCGGATTCCAACTGAAGGTAAAAAAAAGCTTGGTTGGATGATCGTCCGAAAACTGTCTTGTGGTTTCACCAGAGCAAAGCTTATGACATGTAGGGTTAGTTCTCTGTGTCAACGGTTACGTAATATGCAAGTTACCCAGGAGGAGAATCACGCGGGAGAGGAGTTTGCCCCTTTTTTTTTTAATGAATTAGGGTTCTTTTGTTTATGTTTTTTTGCTGGCCACTGCTTAAGCTATACAAGTTTTGATACTATATGATTTTCTTCTTTTTTGGGTGTTTTTAGGGACGAGTTATTTCTCCTTCATAAGTTTTTTGTGCGTACAAAATCACGTTTATGTTTCGTTATCCTCTTTTATAACAAATTTGTGAGGGATATTTTATTTTATATAAAATCGAAAGGACTCGAATGTATAATAGTTTGTAGTATATAGCCAACCTAAAATTGAGTATGAAAAAATGAATGAAAATGATTTTTTAATATATATATATATATTTTTTTTATAAAAATCAAATTTTAATCGAAATTAAATAGAATGATGGATATTGTTGGTCGATGTAAAACCGAATTGAAATGAATATTTTAGTTATTGTCAATGGATCAGAAGAGATTCTTTTTTCTTTTGTTTTTAAATTTTTTTAATCTAATATATATAGGGATTCAATGTCGAGAACAACAAATTATCACCAATCTATAGAATAAGATTGATTAAACCATTACAAATATGATATGATATTTTGTGTTTTATTTTAATAAAAGATGGTGCATAATTATAATAATTTATACATATAGAATATCTATGTACGCGTAGGAGGAGATCATTCAAACCCAGTTCCGTTTCTTGACTCTTTCTCGGCGGCCGAAACCGTTTTGGTCAAAATGGTCAAACCACCGTATTGAGTTTGACCAAACTTTAATTGTATAGTTAATCCTGTATTAATCTCTTAAACTAGGGATTAACAAAATGAACCCAAACATGGAATTCAAGAAGATAAGATAAATTTATTCGCCCGATTTGCCAAAAACAAAACACTAAGCACAATAAATAATATAACTCCGAATCACCCAAAAATATGTAAATTAACATACAAGATTTGATTCCAAACTTAAGTTATTATGATCTTTTGTTTAAATATAAATTGGTCGAATAATTTGTTATTATTGTGTTTCTTATACAATCCGAATTTATATAGAAGCATTATGTAATGATCCAATCAACATATTTAATTATAATAAAATTTGTAATATTAACTAATACATTATCTTACATTCAAACTCAATTAGAGAAAAATAGAAAACGTGATTAGAAACGCAAAACCTCTAATCTCAGATTTAAATGTATACAAACTAGTATTAATTTTTTATTTTAATTATTAAAAAATATGAAAGAGGGGGTTGTGTGAGATAATCACGTGCATTAAGATTCTGGGTTAAGGGATAATCACGAGGCTCATGCTGGTGGCATTAATGTAATTAATTGGGTCAAACCTTTTGGCGCCGCAAGGAACAGTCAATTCTTTTCCCCTTCGCCATCTTTTTCTTTAGTTTTACTATTTTGAGCCTTCTATTTTTCACTAATTGCATAAAAACCCAACACGTACCGGATAATTTATTAGGAGAGAAATAACTTTATTTCCTATTTTTAATAATAATTTTAAATTTAATTTAATAAACCGTATATCCAATTAATTTTTATATTAAATTCAACATATTATTGATTAATATATTTTTGTGATTCATTTTATTTTTACAACGAAGCAAAATAGAAATATCCAAAATCATTATTACCCTTAGTATTTGAGTTTTTCTTCTATACAAATTATTAATTTCATTTATTATGTCACTGATATCATGGGCCCGTAACATCAACATACTCCAATTGTTAGTTTACGCAAGTATTGTATCGTAATATAATATTACGTATGAATAAAAAATTCGTGGCGCAGTTTTCATTAAAATATCTATAATTTTTTATATATATTTTTTTTAAAATTACGCAGCTATAAAAAGAGATCCTAAATTTTTAATAATAAATATTTTTTGTGATTAAATCAATATAGATAAGACTGCATATCCGATGGGGCTTAAATGATAATATAAAAAATGTTAGGGTTAGAATGAAAATACAGCTTTTTTCTCTTTTTACGCTTCCGTTTTGTTGCCCATACTTTTCCCCTATAAACCATTTTTCAGTATCTCTCGGTTGCATCTCTCTCTCTCTCTCTCTCCGCCTCCATGCCGGTCGCCGGCAAAATTTTCACAGGGGAATAGTTTCCGGCAGGTCACTGAAGTGACCCGTGATAACGAGATCCGAATCGATCCATCGGAGGTTTTGGGTAAGCTTGCTTGCGGACAATCTTCGCTGCTGTTTTTTTTGTTGCATGATTTTTGTTCCCCCTCTTTTCGGGTTCTCTTTTCCGTTTATGAGATTCGCCTGATCCTGAATTTCGGATCTGGACCTTTTCCCTTTCCGGTTTTCCGGTTTTTTAGGGTTCGAATCTCGGATTTAGATCTTGCTTTTTCCTTCTTATTAATCTTTGTGGGATTTCATCGGTTAGGCTGCTTGTGTTTTTGAAGTTTGTGAATGAGGATTTAGGTTCAGTTCATGCTTATCTGAATTTCCGTGGTTTTTTCAGATGATTCTGGTTGCAATCGAAGAGAAACGAGGCGATACATGCATCGGCGTTCCGTCAATTCGGTAATGACTCTTGGGTTGTCGGGTTCTACATTGGTGGTTGGATTTTGAATCCCGAATTCAATTTGGTTGTCGAACTGTTTGGTTCGAAGATCCGATTTTTGTGCAAGGGTTCCTGATTTCCAGCCGCACGTCGAAGTTGGAGCTCTCCGGTTGGGTTAAAGATCGAAATGGGTGTTATTAGTTTGATTGATTGAATTGATGGGCACAATAAACAAATGGAGGTTGTTTGGGGGCAAAGATCGGAATCTGTTTTCGGGATACTGGGACAAAGTTGCTGACGGGAACAGGTGTTTGGTACTAGAATCTTGACAATTTTTTCTTGATTCAGATTTGTTTTCGCTTTTCTTTGTTTGGGGAATTTCAATTTACAGAAACTTGGTTTAACAATCATGGTTATGGAGCGTTCTTCCGAGGATATAGTGGAGGATGGAAATGGAACAGAAGTTTCTGTCTCTGTTGTGAAGGCCAGGGCGGGAGTGAACGATGGTCGTGTTCGGTTGGGATCAAGTGACTCGCTTCTCCCGGGTCTCATCGATGATGTAGCTCTGAATTGTCTTGCTTGGGTTCCGAGATCCGACTACCCTTCGCTATCGTGTGTAAACAAGAAGTACAACAGGTTGATCCAAGGTGATTATTTGTTTGGTTTGAAGAAGCAATTGGGTATAGTCGAGCATTTTGTATTTATGGTTTGTGACCCGAGAGGGTGGTTGGCATTTTCTCCCGAAAAGAAGAAATGGATGGTGCTGCCTAAGATGCCTTGTGACGAGTGCTTCAACCATGCGGATAAAGAGTCGTTAGCGGTTGGTGACGAACTTTTGGTTTTCGGGAGAGAGTTATTCGACTTTGCCATTTGGAAGTACAGCTTGAAGTTTCTTAGTTGGATCAAGTGTGAAGGAATGCACAGGCCTCGTTGCTTGTTTGCCTCGGGAAGCCTTGGTTCAATAGCCATTGTTGCTGGAGGAACCGACAAGAACGGTAACATACTGGCTTCAGCCGAGCTTTATGATTCTTCGACGGGCAGATGGGAGATGTTGCCGAACATGCACTCGCCTCGTAGGCTGTGCTCCGGGTTTTTCATGGACGGGAAATTCTATTTGATCGGCGGGATGTCGAGCCCGACAGACTCGCTGAGTTGTGGGGAGGAATTTGATCTGGAGAAGAGGAAGTGGAGGAAGATAGAGGGGATGTACCCTAACATGAACAGAGCAGCTCAGGCTCCACCTCTAGTTGCAGTGGTGAACAACGAGCTATTCACTCTCGAGTATAACACCAACATGGTGAAGAAGTACGACAAAGGGAAGAACACGTGGAACGTGATGGGAAGGCTTCCGCCATTGGCAGACTCGTCAAACGGATGGGGTCTGGCATTCAAACCGTGCGGGGACGAGCTGTTGGTGGTGGGCGGGCAGAGAGGTCCTCAAGGGGAAGGCATAGTGGTGAACTCGTGGTTGCCCGAGTCTAGAACGGAGGACGGAAACTTGGACTGGAAAATTCTCGGGGTGAAGGAAAACGTCGGCGTGTTTGTGTATAACTGCGCGGTTATGGGCTGTTAACGAGTTTCGGTAATCTTTTCGGGTTAGTTCATTCTCATTCTCATTCTCATCTCATATTTTCTCTTTGTCAGTGTCTCTAACTCGCTGTTGTATGTTCTTGTTTCTGTCCTTTTGTCCTGTGTTGGGATATATGCTTTGTGTTCTGCAATTTGCTTATTCTTCTTCTTTGGGGGGAATTCATCATTTATCTGAATAAAGAAAGATGGATTTTTTTTTAATTTTTTGTTTTGTGATTGTGAGTTCTTCCTTCATGTGAAAGAAGTGAAAGCAATAGCCCGTTCTTTGGCTTTTAATGGCGGTTCTTGGTCTTACACCATTGATGGAGCTTGGAAGAAGCTTTATATGTGTGTGTGTATATATATATATGTATGAGTGTAACAGTTACTATAATGATGGGAATTGGATAATGGACCGCCTTTGTTATGGAGTCCGGTCCATTCAATCCATTTTAAAATTCGTTATTACCTATATATATCGCTTTGGTATTATGCCATATTAGATTTGACTTTTACATGTTTTTATTTTATCTATATATAAAAATATTTGGATAAACTTATCAAAAGAATGTAATATTTTAATCTAAATCTTCCAACAACGTATATTTCATAAATTTGGTGGTTGAGATATTCATTCACCGAATGAAAAAAAAAAACTAACTGATTGATATATTTTGTTTTTAAGTTCCAAATTCATTTTTTAAGCCTCTCTAATCATATAGATACACACGCATACCAATATAACAATACATATATATGTACACATATGTGTGTGTGTGTATGCTCATGCGTATAGGTATTTTGGCTTTTCTGGTTTATATGAACCGGTTTAAGTATTTTCAATACTTGGTGGATTTCTTAATCTTCTTTTTCTTTTATAGAAAGATAATATTCTTTTATCTTTCCCACTTCCAAAATCCCAACATCTATACACACACACACACATATATATATATATATATATATATATATATTAATATATGTACATGCATGTATGCATGTAACTACGTCGGTATGATATATACAGATTCTGCATGACATAATTAAATCATTGGCGGTTTAAACGCGCGTCTTACTTGTATAAATAATCTCAATACTTACATTTACTTACCACTTATTAGATTCTTCTATATATGCTTATATTATTAGCAAATGCTTAACGTTTTATACTTATAGAAAGTTGAAACAAATCGCGAGTTCATATATATATATAAGCAATATAAACTTTTAGAATATATTTAATTTTAATATAATTATATATCGTATATTTATACATATCGGATTTGTACCTAATTGATTGTGATCGTAGGTATGGAAGCATAAAAATTTGCTTTCTCCTCCGCATGAGAGAATGTCTGTCGGAGAAATCAGCAAAAGATAAAACGGACCATTCGAAAAAAAAAGAAAGTGTATAATCAATTTAATAATTAATCATAGTGTCCATATTACAAGAATTAAATGCTTATCGAATATAAATTATATTATAATATCGACTATACATCCAAAACACATTCATTATATTTGATAATTAATTATAAAACATGCACACTTTTTGGACCATTGAAAAAACACGGACGGATAGTCGTGTATTTTATCTCTATTAACTTAAAATACGATTTACATGATAATTAATAATCGGTACAATTAATTAGGAGTACATATAATTATAATTATGAAACAAAATCTTCAATCTCACACCTCCAATAAAGGAGAGTTATATTTCAAAATTCAAGTCAAAAACTGCTTTTCGTTCGTGAAAATGATTACTCCTAAATTGTTTTGAACAAAAAAAAAAAGTTATGATTCTTCCAAAGAGGCAAAATATATATACAGCAAATAAAAATTGGCAAAATACAAAAAAGAAACTAACTTTCTTTAGGGCATTTATTCCAAAGTGAAACTCAAATATACAAGCCGCCTATTTTTTTCGTGGGCCTTATAGTTTAAAGTCATTTATATATGTATGTATATATATATATATACATACATATATAAATATATATGAAAAATGGAAAAGTACTTTTTTAATTATCATTGTTATTTATAATATGATTTTTTGTTTTTAAATTTGAATTTTTTTGTTTCTAAATGTTATATTTATTTATCTTTATATCTTGTTTCATTTTTTTTTTCCAATTTCATTCGAATCCGTTTTTATTTAAAATTTTATTATCACTATTACATGTAATTTAGATCACCTTAATTTTGATTTTGAAGAAAAAAATATATTCAATCCGTTTTTAAATCGAAATATAACTATATTACTAGATTCGATTCAACTTGATTTCGTTTAAAGAATGGAAGATGATGACTCCTAATACGTAATATCAAATTAGCAACTCCTAAAACATTTTGATTGATACAGAGTCTAACAAAATAACAGTGAAAGCTTTACATAATTGATGATGGCAAAGTGGAATGGACGTGAGTTGAAAAAAAGTATACAAAATGCCACGTCACCATATCATTTTATTTCACATAAAATAAAAAAATATTGATGAGATGTCATGTTATCTTTAACACCTAACATAGCATAAGCTTTACTCATGATCTTGATGCATCATTATCAAAGATTTTTTTTCTTTTAAAAAATTTATATAATCTAATCGGATCATAACCTTTGTATTGGAAAAAAATCGATATAAAGCATTCATACCATATTTGCTATAATGAATCAATGGACCATAAATTTTTAAATATTTTTCTTTTAATTTTAACCCTTAGTTTAAGCATAAACATAAACAAAAATTAAAAATATAAGTAGGAAATATTGCAAGAAGTAACTATTGAAATGAATCAAGATATAAAATTTCAATTCCAATCAATTCAAACCATATAAGAACCAATAAATTTAATATCAGTTTTTTTTATTTGTGAACAAATATAACGAAACTATTGGTCCTCGTCTGCTGAAAAACAGTTTGGAACCCTTAAGGTTAATATTAATGTTAGATTAAATTTGTGGATACAAAACAAACGCAGAAAAAACAAAAAAAAAAAACAAATCAATTGTGATGAACAATAATTTATTTATGCATGTCCTTTCAAAAATATAGATATGTTCACATCAAATGCGAGCATACGATAAAGCCAACACTTATTCCGGTTATCCACGAAATAAATTGACATCAAAATTGCAAAATAAAAAAAAAATTGAAAAGAGAGCAATTGGTGATGGAAGTGGGCAAATCTCTCAGGAACAGTAGAAGTAGGCCCATCTCTCTCTCTCTCTCTCTCTCTCTCTCTCCTTCTTTCGCCATACCAATAAATGAGAATCATGTCTTTCCCTCTCATTCCCAGTGCCTTTTCTCCTTCTTACTAATCCCCCATTTACAACCCAAACCCACTATCTTCTTCCCACCATCAATACAGTCCCCAAGAACAAAGTTTGGGGTTTCACATCTTCTTGTTCCTTTTTGGGCAAATTTCGAGTTCTGGGTTCATCTGATTCTTCTTATTTTAGCGTTTTCTGAACTAAAGTTTCATCCTTTTTGAAAATTGGATTCTGGGTTTCGTGTAGTTGTGGGGTTTTTGCTTGTGTGTATGTGCAGTGTGACGCCGCTCTTGTCCTTTTGAGCAAATTGTGGAACTTGAGTATAAGTTTGTTTTTTGAGTTTTGTCTGTTCTTTTAATAAAAAGCTTTCGAATTTTTTTTTTCTAATATGGAGAGGTTTTGTTTCCTTTTTCTCCTGTCGGTGGTTTGTTAGCTGTAATAACCCAAAACATCTCTTCTTCCTCTTTCTTTGCTGCTTTTGTGAAGAAGTTTTGAATTTGGGGATATTAAGTTTATCTGAATTCTGTATTTTGACGGCGTGAAGTGATGAGTAATGAGGAGAATCCTCTTAATGTTGGTTCAAGCCATGGCGATACCTCCCCTGCTTCAAATCAGGTATGAAGTTTTGTTCATCATAAACACAGACATATATTTACACGCAAGAACATATGTGTCTGTTCATCTGATGAATCTTTCAGATTCAAAAGCTGTGATCTTTTGGATAATATTTTATATGGGATTTGCTGAAAGGATTAGTTGCGTACCACAAAATCGAGATCCAACGACGGAGTTGCGTTTTGTTGGCTCATATTTTTCCCGTTTATGTAACTGAAACTCTATAATATATTGCGTGAATGGAACTGTAACTGAACTCTTGTGATTTATTGCGTGTATGGAAGTCCAAAGCGACAGTTGAACATGAGAGAGAGCTGGATCCATTCTTGCTGATTCTTGACTGAAATGATGAAAGATCAGTTGTTTTTGAGAATCTTTAATTTCAGATTTGTGACCGTCCCTTGATCTATTGCAGGATAATGATGTTCCCATTTAGACCTTCCAGATATGCTTAAGTTGATAACTAGTTGGTTCATCCAAGAAAGAGATGCTTATGTGTAATTTAGTTTCTAACATCATTTGTCATCGTCCTTGTCCTTCTTTACAAGGCTGAGGAGCCTATAACAGAAGAAGGGTCCACAGAATTTCAACGATGGAGGCGAAAGAATCTATCTTTGCAAATACCCACAAGAGCAGTTGCACTTTCATCCGAGGATTCGGTCGTAATCAAGATGCCTCCAACTCCTAGTCCAACTCCAAGAAGGGTGAATTTTGCTTTGGCAGCGAGTTCTCCAGGTCCGGGTCCATCTTCTGGTTCTGCTTCTTCCCGGGGCAAGTCTTCCTTGAGGAATCTCCTGCCTAAAGTCGGGTTCAAACCAAGAATCATTTGTTCCGATATCGAGAAGGGATCGGAAGGGGTTTCTTCGCCTTCTGGGATGCAGGAGAAGGCCTCGATATCGAGATCTTTATCTCTTTCGAAGATCTTTACGCCTCGGATCAAGAGAACATCATCTCTACCTGTCACACCCATTGCTCATTCAAACCCGGAGTCAGCTCATGGAGGAAGTACCATTGTTTCCCAAAACTCTTGCGTAAGCCCTTTTCGTGTATTGAGAAGAGGGCTCGTTGGAGAAAAAGATTTTCGAAATGCCATTTTCATTTTACGTACTCGTGTTTGTTTTTTTGCAGAGCAAAGGGAGTTTACAGATAGCTCGCTCGCTTTCTGTTCCTGTTAATGGAAAGGACATAGGTTTAAAGAGAATGGATTCATTCTTCAGAGTTATTCCCACGACTCCTCGTGTAAAGGAAGGAAATGTGTTGCCAGATACACCTCAAGCTTGCGATGCCGGTAAATTCATGTGTCAATTTGTTGTATGCTCTGTGTTCTTGCCTTTGTACATAAAAAATGTACTTGATCATACAGAAACAAGCGATGCTGATGGAGAGGATATACCCGAGGAAGAGGCTGTTTGTAGGATTTGTTTGGTTGAGCTATGCGAAGGGGGAGAAACCCTAAAAATGGAGTGTAGTTGCAAAGGGGAACTTGCTCTTGCCCACAAAGAATGTGCTCTGAAATGGTTCACCATCAAAGGAAACAAGACTTGTGATGTGTGCAAGCAAGAGGTGAAGAATTTGCCTGTGACATTGTTACGGATTCAAAGCACTCTTGGACGGAATTCCGGAGGAAACACAGCTCAGCTTCACGATGTATCGGGATACAGGTAATTCCCGAACCTTATATTAAGAATATCCGAATACTCGTTGCACAACGGGTTTCCTTGAAATGGCAGTGTATGAAATATGAAGGCTCATTGTCACTATAGATACCACAACAACAAAAAGTTTGAACCTTTGTAAAATTTCATTCATTCCGCTCTGCAAGAATCCAAGGGTCAACCTTCTTGGATCATTCCTTTGTAAATTTTGAGCCCTTTTTCAAATGGCAAACTGTGTTTAAAAGCCTTGCAAAGTGACCGGCAAGAGATTCTGCTTCTTCATTTCTCCTCAGGGTATGGCAAGAGGTGCCGGTTCTGGTAATTATCAGCATGCTTGCATACTTCTGTTTCCTTGAGCAGCTCCTGGTAATACTCTTTTCACCATATTGACTGTGCTTTCTATACATGTACCATATCATTAACAACCATGGCAAGCATTCGGATATTAAACATAAAACTGTGAATCTATACATCCATCAATGTCCAGGTCGAGAAAATGGGCACGGGTGCGATTGCCATATCTCTGCCGTTTTCCTGCATTCTCGGTCTTCTTGCATCGATGACTGCATCAACCATGGGTAATGCATCCGATCCGAGATAACTAACTCTCCATTTGAATGGAGCAACGTTATTTGCATCTGGGTATCTGCTTAACCCGATCTCTCTGATTCTTGCGTGCAGTCGTGAGAAGATTCGTATGGGTTTACGCTTCTGTCCAGTTCGCTCTCGTGGTTCTCTTCGCCCACGTGTTTTACTCCATGGTCCGTACCCTCCAAAGCCTCTCTTACTTCCTTTCTCACTGCAGCAAGTAAAAAAAATGCGCAAGCTTTGAGATCTTTAGAGTAGAAGCCGATGCAAATCTGCGACCTTGACCGTAAAAAAGCCGAAATCTTTGGGATCTTTATGGTAAAACCCGAGTTGGGTGGTGACAGTTTTCGTGGTTTTTCAGGTGGAACTGCAAGCCGTTCTGTCGGTTCTTCTGGCGACGTTTGCAGGGTTTGGAGTTTCGATATGTGGAAGTTCGGTTCTTGTGGAGTTCGTGAGGTGGAGAAGGAGGTGGCGAGAGAGGAGGCTGCAGCAGCAACCGGCCGAGAGCCAGCAAGTGGGCGGCCATGGAAGCTGATGACTCTCGGAGCTGGTCTCTTCTCTTGTACGGTTTGCGTAAAGAAGAATTTTATAAAGTTTGTGTTTTTTCTGTTGCCATAGCTCTTCTATACTTTGCCTGTGCAGTGTGATATGCGCAGCCTTTTGCTTTCTGCTAATGAATGAATGTTCACAAAGAAGTAAATACCCAAAATACCCTTTTGCCGAAACTATTTTTGTACGTATTTTTTCAGATATGACTAAAAATAACAGTATAACGTTAAATTTACGATACTTTTGTTAGTATGATAAATTTAAATGTAATTTAAATGTTATTATCAATGTGGTATACTATAATTATGATTAGATTAGATATATGTATACAAGTCTATTCTTCTAATATATATATATATATATATATATATATATTGGTGGACTCTTACTATTTAAATACATAATGTGCAGAAGGTTTTGTAAATAAGTTAGACATAAATCAAATATCGGAAATTTTGGTTTATGTGATTTCGAATTGGAACAATTTGGATTTTAAACTATGGATTTCAGATATAAAAATCAGAGTAATTTCGATATGAAATGGTCCAAATTCCATTTGTGCTTCTCGTGCTTTGTATGAAGGATTATAATATTAGGATTCGTTAAAACCAATGAATCAAATTCAAATTAAGACGATTATCCTCAAATATGAGCAGACAAATCACGTGTGGTATACATGACTTTTGTCCCAACGCTTATTTATAATTAATAATAACTACATATAATAAAAAAACAAACAAGACTATATAAACACATGTTCCTGTTACATTTATTAAATAGACCGATCACTTTCACTTGGAAGCCCCTAAAATATATATTATTTACAAAATGTTATTGCTATGCCATATTCTATATTAATGGTTCTTACCTTTAAATCATTTAGAGATTTTCTCAAATTGATTTTTTTTTTTTTATAATATGCTCATTTACAGAGTGTTCATCTGAGATTGAACATATCAAAAATTGGGTATTATGTTTCCTTTTATCTTCAAGAATCTCATGGGAAAAAAAAATCTGTTCTTTTATAGAAATTAGTTAATGCATCATCTTTTATGATAAGTATGAAATTAGGGATCAAATTGAAATTAAATAAAGTGGGCTTGGCGATTTTCACCAAATTACGTGATTTAAATCATATATTAAAGAAAAAAAATTAAAAATTCGACCGAGACAGAGATACATACACCTGTCCATCTATTCAGTTGTATGTATCTATCCATCCAGAGCTATTTTCACTTCCCATCTTCATTAAAAAAAAAAAAATTATGCTTATATATATTTATGTGAAATTCATGACGGAAACTATCCCTCTCATATTCTTCTCACCACTAATTTCTCCCTCTCTTCCCCTTCTTCTTCTCCATCTGGACCCTTCTGTTCTCTACTCTGATTCTTCGGCTCGAAGGTTGTCATTTCAGGTACTGTTTGGATGCCGAGAAAATGGAAAAGGGATTTTTCTTTTTAGGCTGATTCTTCGGTTAATCGAGGCTGGTATGGTCTTGTTGCCGATAAAATTTCCCAGAGGGAAAAAGTTATGCCCTTTATGCGATTAGATTCTGTGTAATTTACCGGGAGACGATGGTTATTATTGGGCTAATTTCGGGTTTCATCTTCGCTCTCGGAATCTGCGGTCTGTGTAGATTTTTACTTCAGGATCAGTAGGAAAAAAAACTGAAACTTTTGCTGAATTTTCATTGTCCTTTATTTTCTCGGGAACCAAACAGGACCTGAGTAGAGTACCGAACTTTCTGCGTTGTCTCTTCACCTTTTTTTTTATAAATAATTGTTTTTTTAAATTTAGTCAATGTGTTCTTTGAACTTTGCAGCTACTTGATTTGCTAAAGAAATGGCCACCGGAGTGTTGCCGGCTTCGTTTTCCGGCGTCAAGATCCCGGATTCAAAATTGGGGTTTGCAAAAAGTTTGGATTTTGTGAAGGTTTGTGATCTGCGGAGGACAAGATACGGTGGTCGGAGAAGAGTTTCTGTTGTCCGATGTTCAAGCCAAGGCTCCGACATTGCAGAGCTTCAACCTGCATCAGAGGGAAGCCCTCTCTTAGGTATATATGCTCTCTCTCTCTCTCTGATCACCAATGTTCATTTCAGTTTTTTTGGTATGGAGATGATAATTTTGGTGTGTTCCTGATGATTGTATGATGTTGGTCTGTAGTACCGAGACAGAAGTATTGCGAGTCGTTGCATAAGACCGTGAGAAGAAAAACTCGGACTGTAATGGTTGGAAACGTGGCTCTTGGAAGTGATCATCCCATTAGACTTCAGACGATGACTACATCCGACACAAAGGATGTCTCGGGGACGGTTGAAGAGGTTTTGTTCTGTTCCCATGTCTATGCACGGTCGGGAAAATGATGCTTAGGTTTTGCGATATAGCATATGCATCATAAAGCTGTGACCTTTTTCAGGATCTTCCAGATGGGTTTTAGATTCTTGATGTTTATAATCCATATAATCAGTTGGAATTTAGATTGCTTTTATTTTTCCGATTATAGTTGCAGTCCATCTTTCTGTTTACATATTCTGCCGGTTCTGTGATCGTAGGTTATGAGAATTGCGGATAAGGGAGCTGATATTGTTAGGATAACTGTTCAAGGGAAGAAAGAAGCCGATGCATGCTTCGAGATAAAAAATAAACTTGTTCAGTTGAAGTAAGTCATGGCCAATACCGAGCTTTCTGCAAATTTATGCTTGTCTTCAACGCTTTGGGATTTTCTTTTTCGTTCTATCTTTACTCGAGTAACATACAATTGACTCAACTCTATCATGTTTGAACAGTTACAATATACCTCTGGTGGCAGATATCCATTTCGCCCCATCAGTAGCCTTGCGAGTTGCTGAATGCTTTGACAAAATCCGAGTCAACCCGGGAAACTTTGGTGGGTTTTTTGTTTTTCTTCTGTTTTGCTCTGGACCCTTGTGTTCAATGCTGAGTATTTTCCCGTTGCAGCTGACAGGAGGGCTCAGTTTGAACAGATAGAATATACGGAAGAAGAATACCAGAAAGAACTCGAACACATTGAGCAGGTAAGAGCTTTTACCGTCTCTCTAATATGCTAGATTTACGTGTTCACTGTCTTATCTTTCGTTTTCGTGTTATTGGTCTTGACGGTGTTCCTCTCTCGTTTGACTGAACTGTCAGGTTTTCACTCCATTGGTTGAGAAATGCAAGAAGTATGGAAGAGCGATGCGTATTGGTACAAATCATGGAAGTCTTTCTGATCGTATCATGAGCTATTACGGGGATTCTCCACGAGGAATGGTGTAAAATGCTTACCCTTTTATAGCTTTTAGATCGGCCTTTTTTGTTGCTCACTATTGTTGACTGGCTAGAGTTACTGAAAATAGGTGGAATCAGCCTTTGAGTTTGCAAGGATATGCCGGAAGTTAGACTTTCATAACTTTGTCTTCTCGATGAAAGCGAGCAACCCGGTTGTCATGGTCCAGGCATACCGTCTGCTCGTGGCTGAAATGTATGTTCTTGGCTGGGATTACCCTCTCCACTTGGGTGTGACCGAAGCAGGAGAAGGCGAAGATGGACGGATGAAATCTGCTATTGGAATCGGGACTCTTCTTCAGGTACCATTTTTCATTTTATACTGTTTAAGATCGTGAAGCTATTTCGTAAGATGTTAAGTATATAGTAGTAACGGCATCATTCTTGCAGGATGGTCTAGGTGATACGATTAGGGTTTCGCTAACCGAGCCACCAGAAGAGGAGATAGATCCGTGCAGGCGGTTGGCCAACCTCGGGACAAGAGCAGCTGAACTTCAGCAAGGCGTGGTATGACTCTGTTGGAGTGGGCTCTTGTCCGAATTTCCAGTCTTGTTGTCTGACGTAATGCTTTTTGTGTTAGGCACCATTTGAAGAAAAACACCGGCATTACTTCGATTTCCAGCGTCGGACTGGTCAACTACCCGTACAGAAAGAGGTAAAGCTGGAAGCGGTTTTAGACCTCCTGCTTGCTTATACCGTGTCTTTTGTGCATACCTGACGGAAAAACGAGCTGACCTGATAGAAAAATACAGGGAGAAGAGGTTGATTACCGAGGTGTCCTTCACCGTGATGGTTCCGTCCTAATGTCGGTTACTCTAGATCAGTTAAAGGTTTGTTATTTTTGTCTTTTTGGAATTCTCTTCCCTTATCTAAATCACTATCTTCAAGGGAGTAGCATGATCTTACGGGATCTCTGTCTTTTTCAGACACCGGAACTTCTCTACAGATCACTCGCAGCAAAGCTTGTTGTTGGCATGCCATTCAAGGTCGGTCTCATCCAACTTTTACGCGAGAAATCAATGATGTATCTCTCATTTATGATGTTTCTTTCGTCGGTTTAGGATCTGGCAACAGTGGATTCAATCTTATTGAGGGAGCTACCGTCTGTAGATGATAGCAATGCTGTAAGGACACACAGTTTTCTCTGTCTGATTCTTGTGTTATGCTTATGCAAGTGATTTCATCGTTGAGAGAAAATCCTGCTCTTCCTTATTACAGCGGTTGGCTCTTAAACGGTTGATCGATGTCAGTATGGGGATCATAGCTCCATTGACAGAGCAACTCACAAAGCCATTGCCCAATGCCATGGTTCTTGTGAGCCTTAAGGAACTGTCTGGCAATGCTTACAAGCTTCTCCCCGAAGGTTTTGGACCTTGAAACTTTTCTGAAAACTGAAGTATAACAGAGAAATGAAACGGGTGCATTAATTTTCTCTTTCGTTGCTTCAGGGACACGTTTGGTTGTCTCTTTACGCGGGGATGAAGCATATGAAGAGCTGGAGATTCTCAAGAATGTTGATGTTACTATGATCCTTCACGAAGTACCCTTCGAGGAAGAAAAAATTAGCAGAGTACATGCAGCTAGGAGGTAAGGATCGCTATCTTTTACCCGTTCAATCAATCTTCATCAAGAGTTCGCTATCTTCGTATGGTTTAAAGTTACCTCCTTTATCATCTTGAAATGCCGATATTGTTCCGGGTCTGACCCTCCGATCAAAGGGTTGGATTTTCTAGTCAATCTTCATCAAGATTTCACTATCTTCATATAGTTAAAGCTGCCTCCTTGATCGTCTTGGACTGCCGATATTGTTCCGGGTCTAACTCTTTTGGTCAAAGGGTTGGATTTTGTCATAAATCTTCATCAAAGTTTAAGCCTTTTTCAAGTCTGATATTCTCCGTCCTTGCAGGTTATTCGAGTACCTATCAGACAATTCGCTGGACTTCCCCGTTATCCACCACATTCACTTCCCGAAAGGGTTTAACAGGTAACTAATTTTACGTTAAGAAAACACCATAGAAACCCGCAGACCGAAACAAAGATATCAGCTTCAGCTGGCGTGTCATCTTACGTTATTTCCTGCCCGTACGCAGGGATGATTTGGTAATTCGTGCAGGGACATATGCCGGAGGCCTTCTGGTCGATGGTCTCGGGGACGGTGTCATGCTGGAAGCCCCTGACCAAGATTTCGACTTTCTCAGGAACACTTCCTTTAACTTGCTTCAAGGTTGCAGAATGCGTAACACAAAGACGGTACTTTTGCTCGTCTCGTTTATATATTTTTTTTCCTCCCCAGAAGTTCCGGTTTCTTGTAATTCTGCTCCTTATATTTCATAGTTCCTCCGTATTCCCCCTCAAACTTAAGTAAGTTCAACGTTTTCAACTGTAAACAAATCCGGTTTAGGAGAAATGTTGCAACTTTTCCTCTGGTGGTGTGAATGAATTGCAGGAATACGTATCGTGTCCGTCGTGTGGAAGAACGCTCTTTGACCTTCAAGAAATAAGCGCAGAGATCCGAGAAAAGACTTCGCATTTGCCCGGTGTCTCGGTAATAAGTCCCTCTTCCTTTCCCCGAAAAAACACAAAAGGATTCCATTTTTTTACGGGACAATTGCTGGTTTTTGCCTGCTTATGATCTGAATCGTCGGGTTTTTTTTTTGGCTTAGATCGCGATCATGGGGTGCATAGTGAACGGACCGGGTGAAATGGCTGACGCTGATTTTGGCTACGTCGGTGGAACTCCCGGAAAAATTGACCTCTATGTCGGAAAGGTAAAAACTTTCCCCCGAAAAAACGGACCCTTTAGCTTCATTTGTTGTGAGGCTTTGTCGAAAAAACAGAAGTTTGGATCTTTCAAGGACATAAAACTCGTGTGAAAATAACGGAAACATAAAAAGAGAGAACCTTTATCTTCATGCGGAGTGGATGTGAGGTTTTTTTGTCTGAAAGGCAAAAGCTTTAGCCAAAGAAAACGTGTCTGAAGTTTACTTTGAAACGATTACCTTCATTTGGACCGAACAAAACCGTGTCTGAATTCACCGTCCAGAACGTAATTTCTTATGTCGTGACCGTTTGGAATGGTGTAACAGACGGTGGTGAAGCGTGGAATCGCGATGGCAGAGGCGACGGATGCGCTGATCGATCTGATCAAAGAGCACGGGCGATGGGTGGATCCCCCGACAGAGGACGAGATATGATGATCGGAATCTTACAAGTAGCGTCGAATAAAACGGATCTTGTTATATTGTTTTCGTTATGAACGATCGAACTCGTCGATTGACGCTTTCAGTAATCGGAATCAAAATGTTTTAGCCGATGATCTTTTATTAGGGTTTCGCCGACACGAAACGATACAACCTCAACATACGAAACATTGGTGGTGGTGGTAGTAGTAGTAATGAAGGAACAAAGGAATACAGAACTCAGGGTTTCGGTTTTGAATGGATCAGTCGAAAAGGCAGCAGCAGACGGAGCCCGAGCCGGGAGATCCCGAGGGGTCGGAGACGCAGAATCCCGACATCGAGGGAGGATCGTTGGGGCCGTGGCATTGCCTGACGCAGTCGGCATGTTTGTTGCAAGGTCCTCGGAAATGGCATGCTCCATCCGTGTGCTCTGTTACATGCACCATGCCATGCCAAGGTCATGATCATACATTACATGCATCATATATTACATATAGATTCCTTTTGATATAAAAACGATTACCAGATTGAACGGTGATAACGAGAGAGAAGATGATTAGGAAGGCAGCAACTTGGAGTTTTGGCGATCCCATTCTTTTTCTTCTTTCAATTCTTTACAAATATATTTTTTTTTCCTTTTTTCTTTTTTTATTTGTGCAGATGATTTTTTTTTTGTTTTTTAAGTAGAAGAAAGTGAGGAGGGTTTGTATTTATATGTGAAAAAACCGGTTTCCGTAATTAAAAATAGAACCGATTTCATAGGAAATACTAATTACCCACTTTGACTCAACTAGTTACCCGAAAACGGAAAACAAATACCAAAAAAACAAAACTCAAAATGGAAAATGTTTTTTTTTTCATCTAATTTCGGATCTGATTTTTGTTTTGGGCTTTGTAATAATTCATTCTTCTTTGGTTTACATTTAGATGTTCGAATGAAATCACTAACCTTTGACCAAAAATAAAAAGTTTGTATATTAATATGAATTTTTCCAAAAAAAATAAATAAATTTTACTAGAATGATTTTAGAATAACATATTATTGTATACGTATTTGTATGTTTTAGATACCATCTATACGTCATGATTTTGTTTTTATTTTTGTTTTAAATTTTGGTTTAACTCGATTGTGCCTCGAGAATTAAAAAAAAATAGAATAATTTTCTATAAAAATGATAAATAAATTATCTTCTTTAACCCAACTGGTTGTAATATTGGGTTACACAAAAAACCGAAAACAAAAACCAAAAGACCCTCAAAACGGAAAATGTATTTTATTAATCAAACTTTTAGAGATAAAAAAAAAAATTGAGATGCAGTTGGGTCAAAAACTTGATGAATTTCTGAATTGTAAAAAAAACATTAAACAAATAAAAAAACTATCAAAATTATCCTTGCGAAAAAAAAAATATGCGCGATTTACATCGATATGGGGTATATAATATATGATGATACCAAAATATTATAAAACATTTGATATTAATGAGAAAAAATTTAAATAACGGAAATAATTTTGTGAGGTAACGAGTTATCCAATTTATATATACATATTAGACCGTTTGGTTCGTGAATAAATCGAATTGGCTTGTGATTTATTAATTTCACACAGAGCGGACATTTCATCAAATATACGTTGGGGAAAAAGATCATTGGTTTGAATTATTATTATTCTTAAAATTATATGTTTTTAGGATCATATCCAATAAACACTCAGAAATTCATGATTGATATCTAATCTCGACCACGGATCCCTTTTTTTATAAAAAAAAATTGACTAATAAATTAATATGCATTTTCTTAATTTAGTAATTAAGATAATGAGATCTTGAATTCAAAAGGGAATGACCCTTCGATATTAAGCTAATTAGGTGCAATGCTCAATGACATATTACCTTTAAATCTTTCTTTTTTAGCAAAGCTCGGATACTAATTAAGAAACCTCTCTAATAATAAGAAGTGATGACTTAATTTACAACCAAAACGACATATTAAGAGAAACTACTCACAATTATTATCTTTTCTGGTTATTAATAGATTTGACAAATAATTAGCTTTTTTTTTTATCAATGTAAACTTTCATTTATGTACATACACATAACATATACATGCATGCATGTTACCGGCTGCATATATATTGTATATACATATGTATGTATTTGTCGAGTTTATTTATTTATTTTTTCCAAAAAGTTATTCACTTTCTACGAATCCGGATCCGGTGCTCCGCAGCTATTTACTGTACCATACGTATCCGACGTGGCGTCCTCCCATTCGTTATCCCCTTTCCGTAGCCTTTTAGCGAATCTTTATTCTCTCTCTCTCTAAAACCGACTTTGGGTTACCATTTTACAGATCTCTTCCTTCTCCTCTATCTTCTCAAGTCATCACATTTTCCATACACAGCGAGAAATTGAGTGTTGGATCTTCCAGATGGCGAAGCTCCTCGGCATTATCCTTGCGGTTCTACTAGTTGCGGAACTCGCGTTCGGTATGCTTCCGCCTGATTTTTCCCCGGCTCCGTCGCCGGATCTGGGCGCCGACGCAGCAGATTTGCCTCCGGTTCTGGCTCCGACACCGGAAACCGGATCTCCGCCATCTCCAGTCTCTCCTTCCCCTGCGGAGTCTCCGATTGAGCATTCATCTCCGCCGGAGCCTGAATCCGAACACTCTCCGTCTCCTGCACCGGCGAATTCTCCGTCGAGCTCTCCGCCGACACCAGAGGAAGCAGCGTATCCATCTCCTCCGTCTCCGACTCCGGCTCCGGAACCAGAACCTAGCGAGGCCAGCGATGTCAGCCACAGCGAAATCACCGCGACCGATGACGACGAATCCTCCGGCGGCGGTGGAGGAATGAGCGGCGGGAAGAAGGCCGGGATCGTGGTGGGAGTGTTTGCGGCGGCGTGTGTGGTCGGAGTCGCAGGAGTTGTGTACAAGAAGCGGCAGGAAAATATCCGCCGATCACGGTACGGATACGCCGCGAGAGAGCTTCTGTGAAGAAAGAGAGAGATCGGCGATGAGAGAGAGCCGATTCTCCGCCGTAGATCTCTGATTCTTTTGTTAGTTCAAATTCAAATCCACCATTTTTTTTTTGCCTTTCGTGTTCGTGTAATCACTAAGACTTTGAATTTGAAATTCCTACCGTTTGGTAATTGAAATTCAATTCTTTATATGTTAGATTTTCCAAATATCTAATTACTTTTGGCAGTACAAGTTCAAATTCAGTGATTTTTTTTTTCACCGACGATTTGCAAAATCTTTTCCCCATATTTTGTAAAAAAAAAACTAGAATTTTTATCGAATAAAGTCCTGAATCTTAAACTCATCGCCAAACAAATTCATAAAGGTTGATAATTTTTGGACAAGAACCTCGAAATGTAAATTATTCGTGGATAAATTTTTCTCTCTGTTAATATTTCCCATTAGCATTCAATTGGATTTTGTAAATATTTGACACAATATATTCTCTTTTTTTTCCTTATTGGAGGCAATTGAGTGAACTCTAAATTCGGTTTTTATTAAGAAAAATGAACTCTTTTTTCCTACTATATTCATATTCGATCTTAAAATAAACTTGATTTGGTTTTAGGAAAATATATTTTGTAGACCAAAAAAAAATTAAAAAATGGAAAATATATTTTGGCAGACTTATAAAATTGAATATATTATCAACTCTTGATCAGTTGAAGAAACTATAAAAAAAGAGTGCAATTTTGTGTATTTGGAATGAAAGATTAATCAACACAGGAAAAAACAAAACAATGAATATGTCTCTTCTTCGCTTCCAATTCCCAAATTCATTGTACGGATTCCAAAAAACAAATGACAGGACCCATCTCTCTTCTTCGGATTCATTGTACAGATTCCCAAATCTCACCTTCTCGAAAACGTCTCTCTCTCGAGATCGAAAGACTTCGCCTTTCAAGACAACAGTGGAGGCTTCCGGTATGTTCTAAGATCTTGCAAGAAGTTTTTGATCGTGTTGAATCGAAACCTCGATCTGGGTTTGACTGCTTTATGTTGTCTGCTTCTCTTCCGACGACGGATTCACGCAGGGA